GGTAAAACACCATCTCTACAAACAATACAAAAAATTAGCCAAGTGTGGTGGCTCATGCCTGTAGTTGCAGCTATTTGGGAGGCTGAGATGGGAAGACTGCTTAAGCCCAGGAGGCAGAGGTTGCGGCGAGCCGAGATTGCACCACTGCCCTCCAGCTTAGGTGACAGCAAGACCTATCTCAAAATAAATAAATATATAAATAATAAAGTATACAGGAGGGGCCAGACGTGGTGGCTCATGCCTGTAATCTCAGTCCTTTGGGAGGCCGAGGCAGGAGGGAGGATCACTAGAGGCCAGGCGTTTGAGACCAGCCTGGGCAACAAAGCAAGACCTCGTCTCTAGGCCAGGTGTATTGGCTCACGTCTGTAATCCTAGCAGTTTGGGAGGCCGAGGCAGGAGTTTGAGACCAGCCAGGGCAACATGGTAAAACCCTATCTCTACTAAAAATACAAAACTTAGCCAGGCATGGTGGCGCACGCCTGTAATCCCAGCTACTCGGGAGGCTGAGGCAGAAGAATCACTTGAACCTGGGAGGCAGAGGTTGCAGTGAACCGAGATGGTGCCACTGCACTCCAGCCTGGATGACAGAGTGAGACTTTCTCTCAAAAAAAAAGAAAAGAAAAGAAAAGAAAAAAAAACACCTCATCTCTAATAAAAATTGTTTTAAATTAGCAAGGCGTGGTAGCACATGCCTGTAGTTCCAGCTACTCTGGAGGCTGAGGTAGATCACTTGAGCCCGGGAAGTCAAAGCTGCAGTGACCCCTGATCATGCCACTGCACTCCAGCCCGGGTGACAGACAGAGACCCTATCTCAAAAAACAAAAAACAAACAAAAAAACATGTTTTTAATGAAAAAATAAATAAAGTATACAGGAGGTTGTATGTAGGTTACATGTAAAGACTGCCATTTTCTACAGGGGATGTAAGCATCTCAGATTTTAGCATTACAGGGGTCCAGAAACCAATCCCCCAGGGAAATCAAGGGACAACTGTATATATTCCCTATTGGCACATATGTAGTGCACATAAATGCATAGCAAAAGGCCTGGAAGGATTTATACCCAGTGAAGAGTGGCTATCTCTGGGAAAAAGGGAGCAGGGAGTGGCCTAGGATTGTTGGGATGGGGGCAGGGAATCAAAGGAAACTTAGTTTCTCAGTAATGTTTTTATTTTTCACAAAAAGGATATGTTTATTATTGTTTTGTGGAGTTTAAAGATAAATTTAAAATAATGCATACTGGTCAGGTGTGGTGGCTCGTGCCTGTAATCCCAGCTACTCTGGAGGTTGAGGCAGGAGAATCACCTGAAGCCAGGAGGCAGAGGTTACAATGAGCCGAGATCGCACCTTTGCACTCCAACGTGGGTGATAAGAGTGAAACTCCATCTCAAAAAAAAAAGAGAAAGAAATGAGAAAGCATACCACATATACTTTTGGGGGAAGAACACTCCAGAGACTGAAGCAGCATGTGCAAAGGTCCTGAGATGGGAATATGTCTTGGGTGTTGGCCAAAAAAGCAAGGAGATCTATGTGGGTAGGATGGACACAGCCAGGGAGACAGGGAGGGAGATGAAATCAGAGGCAAGCATGTGGGTAGACCATGGATATGCTTTAGGTCATGGTAAGGAATTTGGATTTTGTTCTCAGTGAGCGCTCATATAATAACTCTGGCTAGTGTATGAGAAATTGACTCAGTGGACATTGAGGAGCTAGGGTCAGAAGAGACAAAGGAGATCCATTAGCCTGATGATCAGCCTCTTCTGATTGCTTCTGTTTTTTCAGCAAAATAATGAGCCACGTCATCAGCTGAGAATGAGGGGATAGAGGGCAGAGGGCACTGGAGGTTGGAGGAGAGAGGCTTTGTGAAAGAGCTGGCCAGGAGAGTTGGTGACTGAGTTGACCATGGGAATATATTATAATTGCAAGGCTGTGCTGAGGACCCACCTTGGTTTGAGAGTCCCAATGAACCTAGTCAGCAAGGACGAGTGGATTTTCCTACAGTACAGTCTCCAAATCATTTCCATCTTTCTAACCCTTGATTCAGTGCTTCATTATGGCTCCCTAGACTCTTTTACAGTCCCTCACCCTCTTATGTCCACACTTCCCATTTGATCTAGCTTAGATTCCATTGTCCATCATTAAAATCACCACAGCTGCAGCCAACCACAACTGCCTCACGCTTCTCCATGACCACGGTAAGCACTTGGCATAATCCCAACCCTGGTTCAATCCCAAGGTCTTACTACTTTGTACCTGTACTCAGTAGCTAAGATAAAGTGCTGAGATTACAGCCACCATGCTCAGCCAAAGAGTTGGGGTTTTTTTTAGTTTTGTTTGTTTTTGGGGGGCACAGAGTCTCACTATGTCACCCAGGCTGGAGTGCAGTGGCATGATCTCAGCTCACTGCAACCTCCGCCTCCTGGGTTCAAGCCATTCTCCTGCCTCAGCCTCCTGTGTAGCTGGGATTACAGGCGCCTGCCACCACACCCAGCTAATTTTTATATTTTTAGTAGAGATGAAGTTTCACCATGTTGGCCAGGCTGATCTTGAACTCCTGATCCACCTGCCTCGGTCTCCCAAAGTGCTGGGATTACAGTCGTGAGCCACCGCACCCGGCCAAGGGTTTTTATTTAATGTTTTTAAAGTGAAGTTTGTAAGTGAAAGTGGTCAGCAACATTCATTCATTTGTATTTTTGCTTTGTTTTTTGTTTATAGATCTAGATCTGCAGAAAGCAACATTAATTCAGTACACTTTTCAGCCCCTACTATATGCATGCACTATTTCCAAGGCCAGTTTGAGGGTCCCAAACATGTAGATGACAAATTCCTAGTCCTTTACTCGGGGAGACAGGCCCTCATGAAACCTGGGCCGCAGGCCAGGTGTAGTGTCTAACACCTGTAATCCCAGCACTTTGAGAGGCCAAGGGAGGAGGATCACTTGAGGCCAGGAATTCAAGACCAGCCTGAGCAACATAGTAAGAGCCTCCCTACACCTCTACCAAAAAATTTTTTTAAATTAGCGGAGTGTGGTGGTGTGTGCCTATAGTCCTAACTACCCAGGAGGGTGAGGAAGGAGGATCACTTGAGATCAGGAGCTCGAGGCAGAAGTGAGCTAAGAAAGTGCCATGGCACTGTAGCCTGGGTGACAGAGTGAAACCCTATCTCAGGAAAAAAAAAAAAAAAAAAGGTGCCCCAAAGCAGCAGCCACAGGAATCCCTCATTGTGAAGTTAAGACTCTTTCTGTCAAACTTCAATGCCATTTACATTAAGATTCCCTGCAACGCCATTTTTTTTTTTTTTTTTTTTTTTTAATGCTTTGTGAGCTAGGTGTGCTGGCTCACATCTGCAATCTCAGCACTTTGGGAGGCCAAAGTGGGAGGATCACTTGAAGCCAGAGTTCAACACCAGCCTGGACAACATAGCAAGACCCCATATCTACAAAAAAATACAAAAATTAGTTAGGTGTGGTGGTGTGCACCTGTAGTCCTAACTACTCCAGAGCCTGAGATGGGAGGATTGCTTGCACCCAGGAGGTTGAGGCTGAAGTGAACCAAGACTGCACTACTGCATTCCAGCCTGGACAACAGATAGGGACCCTGTTTCTAAATAAATAAAGTAAAGTAAAAATGCTTTGTAACTACCTGTTAACTCCTAGAACAGAAACTGCTGTCTGGACTAAGAATGAATCTGCATTCACATCACACTCTGGTGCCAATATCAGAAGAAACTGACAACCAGCATCCCCTCTTTCTCCACCAGTGATATTTACGTGGCGCCTTAGGTCAGAGGTTGCAAACTGGAAGCGACTGATGGGATCAGGCCTGGGGCATGTGCTGCCTGGCTGACATAGCCTTTATAAATTTGAACCAGCAGTTAAAACTAACATGAAGGAGGCTTGCAGCAGCGTGGGATGGGGAGGGACTCATGCATGGGCGCACAGCCACCACACCCCACCCCCATCCCCGGCACTAGCAAGGTCCCCCGGAAAAAAAAAAAAAAAAACTAAACATGAAAACAGTGATCAACATGAAAATGCAGACATCTCTGATTAGCAACAGTGTGGGGGAGATGGGAGGAGTGGCTGGCTGGCCCCTTTAGGATGGCATGTAATCGCAAATTAACCTCAGAATCCTATTGGCAGACCACTTACACACAGCAGGCCACACACAGGTGAATGTCTGACCGCTCCCCAGAGCCCCCCATGGTACGGTGTTGCAGGAAAGCTGGCTCCGTAGGTCTTCCTGCCGACTCTCTCTTCTCTCCCCAGCGACCCCTAAGGATCATGGCACACAGCAAGGTGGAAGAGAATTTTAAGGTAGACCATAAACCCTTCAACAATATTTTTTGACCCCAAATGACTGGTTCTAAGAATTCAAGGGTCTATAGAAGCCAGTTCTTTGAAAGGGATCAGAGCCTTCACATTGAAGAGGCATCTGTTTAATTCAGTGATTCAGTGACATCAGTGTGTTGCCAAATTGTCTTCCAATGTGGCCACTCCCCTCTAATGAGAACCTTTATTTGTGTCTAAATTGAATTAAGCTTGTCTCTTGACTCGGATGAATTACAGGCCACAGCACACAGAGAACCGAGGGAAGAGATTTTCGGTGTCTATCTGTAGTCTTAGATATTTAGGATGGTGCTGGAATCCTGGAGATGGAAAGTGTTCCGTTAAAAAGAGAGCCCGAGTGTGGTGGCTCACACCTGTAATCCCAGCACTTTGGGAGGCTGAGGCAGGTGGATCACCTGAGGTCAGGAGTTTGAGACCAGCCTGACCAATATGGTAAAACCATCTCTACTAAAAATACAAAAATTAGCCAGGCACCATGGCATGCAGCTGTAGTCCCAGCTACTAGCGAGGCTGACACAGGAGAATTGCTTGAACCTAGGAGGCGGAGGTTGCAATGAGCCAAGATGGTGCCACTGCACTCCAGCCTGGGCAGCAGAGCAAGATTCTATCTCAAAAATAAATAAATAAATAAATAAATAATAAAAAGAAGAAAGAGTGCTTGTTTCAGCAGCACATATACTAAAATTGGAATTATACTGAGAAGACTAGCATGGCCCCTGCACAACCATGACACGCAAATTTGGGAAGTATTCTATTAAAAATTAAAAAAAAAAAGAAGAAGAAGAAAGATCCTGTTGAAGTGATGGCCCTTGCTAAAAAAGCGGGGGGAAACAGAAGAAAGAAAGTTCTATGCTCTGCAAACCAATGAGCGCAACATTTTGCAGACACTATTCTAGAATGGATTTTAAGGAGGAGAGGGTACTTCTGTGTCCCAAGAAGAAAAATGACTCATCACCATGACCCAGCTCGGGTTAACCAAGAACAAATCATGTCAGCACAGCCCTCACTTCCTTAAGAAATCTAAGGAAGGAAAGAAGCAAGATAGACCAAGATAAATGGTCCAGGAAAAGGCCACTTAAATAAATTCACTTATAAAGGAAGCCAAAATTCCATATTAAATGGTGAAAAAAGGTATTTATCAGGACTTTACTCTGGAAGATAAAACTTAAAATAATGTTAAGAAATTTTTCTTGTATTTTAAAAATATAAGAAATATTTATTTATTTGACAAGTATTTATTGGCCATGTATTATGTGCCAGCCTCTGGCAAGTGAAAATGTGACAGTGAACAAAGGAGACAAAGCCTTGGCTCTAGTGGAGTTTATAGTCCAAGGGAAGACAGACTAATGGTTAAATACATAAAAAAACAACATAGGCCAGCATGGTGGCTCACACCCGGTAATCCCAACACTTTGGGATCACCTGAGGTCAGGAGTTTGAGACCAACCTGGCCAAAATGGTGAAACCCCGTCTCTACTAAAAATACAAAAATTAGCCAGGCATGGTGGCGGGCACCTGTAATCCCAGCTACTCAGGAGGCTGAAGTGGGAGAATCACTTGAACCCACTTCAAGTGGGTAGGCAGAGGTTGCAGTAAGCCAAGATCGCGCCACTGCACTCCAGCCTGGGTGACAGGAGAGAAACCCTGTCTCAAAAAATAAATAAAAAAAAATAGGCCGGGTGCAATGGCTCAAGCCTGTAACCCTAGCACTTTGGGAGGCTGAGGCGGGCAGATCACCTGAGGTTGGGAGTTCAAAACCAGCCTGGCCCACATGGAGAAACCTCGTCTCTACTAAAAATACAAAATTAGCCAGGTGTGGTGGCGCATGTCTGTAATCCCAGCTACTCAGGAGGCTGAGGCAGGAGAATCACTGGAACCCGCGAGGCAGAGGTTGCGATGAGCCGAGATCATGCCACTGCACTCCCGCCTGGGCAACAAGAGCGAAACTCCGTCTCAAAAAATAATAATAAATAAATAAATAAGTAAACAAACAACTAAATAAAACCTATTATAAAAAGGCTACTATAAAAGCACGTTTATAAACCTAAACTCTTCTCTGCAGCCTTCCAGGCCCCACCTCATCTGACTTGTGCCCACACCTCACACTTCCTCTCACCACCTCTCCTCCTGGCTCACTCTGACCACCACATGGGCTGTCAGCTGGCTCTGTCCTCAGTTTCTGCTGTCTGCATCACTCTCTCCTCCAGGGCACAGCTGCCTGACTCCTTCTCATCATCCACATCTCAGCCCAAATGTCACATCCATAGCGAGACCTTCTCCAACTCCCATCTGGAGCAGTTTCTCCTCCAGCCCTCTCTATATAGTTTGGCTGTATCCCCACCCAAATCTCATCTTGAATTGTGTCATGGCAGGGACCTGGTGGGAAGTGATTGGATCATGGGGGCAGTTTCCTCCATCCTGTTCTCGTGATAATGAATGAGTTCTCACAAGATCTGATAGTTTTATAAGTGCCTGGCATTTCCCCTGCTTGCGCTCACTCTGTCCTGCCACCCTGTGAAGAAGGTGCCTCCTTTGCCTTCCAGCATGACTGTAAGTCTCCTGAGGCCTCCCCAGGCAATGCAGAACTGTCAGTCAATTCAGCTTCTGTCCTTTAATTACCCAGGTTCAGGTATTTCTTCCTAACAGTGTGAGAATGGATTAATATACCTCTCTATCTCATTACCCTGTTTTGTTTTCTTCACAGCAATTATCTTTATCACTAGCTAGTCTATTTTGGTTTTTAATTTGTATTTTTTATATTTTAAAAATAGAGATGGGGTCTTACTATGTTGTCTAGACTGGTCTTGAACTACTGGGCTCAAGTGATTCACCCGCCTTGGCCTCCCAATGTGCTGAGATTATAGGCATGAGTCACCACAGCCAGCCTTTATAATAGGTTTTATAATAAGTTTTTACAGTTATTATAAAAGTGATGGGAAGCACTGAAGGGACTGAATTCGAAGAATGACACAGTCGATGTATTTGCTTCAGTGATCACTGGGGCTGCTGTGTGGATATGAAATGGCCATGAAGGCAAGAGCAGGAGCAGGGATACAGGTCAGGAGGCTGTCCCAGGGGCCCTAGTGAGAGATGTGGCTGCCTGGGCTTGGGGTCCGATGGTAGTGGGGAGATGGACTGGAGTTGATTTAGGTTATATTTGGAAATTAGCCCCAACAAAACTTGCAGTTCCATCTGATGTTGGGGCAGGGGAGGGCAGAGGCAGAGACATCAAGAATAACTCAAGATTTTGGCTTGAGCAAGCAGCTGACTGAAGCTGCCATTTACAGAGTGAGGTAGGGGAGACTTAAGAAACAGTTTTGCAATCAAGAAGCCTGTTTTCAGGCACCCAAGTCTGAAGGCTATTAAACACCCAAGTAGAGATGTCAAGTAGACAGATAAATGTCTGAAGCTCAGGGGACAGGCCAAGACTGCAGATATAAATTTAGGAGTCAACTGCATGTAGATGATATTTAAAGCCAAGGGACTGAATGAGATCAAGGGACTGAAATCACTTAGAAGGGGGGAGATGTGGAGGAAAAGAGGACCAGGACACAGCTCTGGGGCATCCCAACATTTAGAGATTGAGTCTTAGAGGGGAAGCCAGCCAAGAGGACTCCAGCCAGCTGATTCTTAAAATAACAATAATCACAAAAATGAATCAATCAGCTGTTGAGGAATTTTTGCATATGTTTTTCTGGTAAAATTATATGATCATATAATAAAAAATTGGTCGATTCAGATTTGACTTTCACAGCACAATCATAAACAGTGTAATTTTGGCAAAAATAGCTGAGGTCTTTGTTAATTTTCCCAGGTGTCTCTCTTACCTCTTTGATATTCAAATCATTCTCATTTGAAGTATTTTTTTGGTCCTTATCCTCATAGATTTTTCTCTCATCTAATGCTGCTATTCCCTCATATGTCAATGGCTTAGCAAATGATTAGGGCAGTTCCCCAAAATTGCTTTCCTAATTTTTAAAAAATCTTTCTTATTTTGCAAGACTGACAGTTTTACTTTGCCATCAATATTTATGTAATTTATGTTGCATTGTGCTGTTGTAACCTGACAACTATAGAGAAAATAATGAACAAAGACTGTGACACAATGGGCAGTGGTGGAAGCTTGGTTTTGAAAGGAATGGATGTGTAGTCAGTTTATGAGTGATTAATTTTGTATCATAATGATGTTAGCTGTCTATGGTGGAGATAACTAGCTGTCCACCAAATCCATTCTCCCCTTCTTTACGCAACAAAGTCAACAGCATTTCCCTACGTACTATTTGGCTAGGTGTGGCTTTGTGACAAAGTGAACAGCAGTGACATGCCACTTTCATGCCTGTCTGACAAAAATCACTCACATGTGCTCCTTTGTGTGTTTTCCTCTTCTTTGACTGGATGCAGATGACAGTGGGGCCCTGGAGAATGACAGATTTACAAGATGGAGACAACCTAGATCCCTGAGTGACTGCATGGAGGATAGCACCCCCACCAACTTGAGCGCCCTGATTTCTTTTTACCTGCACTAGAAATAATATTTCATCGTGTAGAATCATTAAACATCTGAGTCTATTTGCTACGGTGGCTCAGTCCGTCCTAAATGACACACTGCTCTACTTAACTTCAGGAACGGGATAATGAATACTCAATAATGAGGAGCCCCTTATAGATTTCAGCAAGATATTGATTACTTCATGTAGACTACACTATTACTTTGTGTAGACAAGGCTGAGAAACAAGGATGTTGCTGACCCAGGTCAGAGAAGTAGTACTGACTGAACAACCAAACCTAAAGGTTACTGAATCACTGTCCAACCATATACATTCCTTTGGGCTTAATTATCAGTTCTGTCCTTTCAACATTTGTAGTAGTGACTTGGATGAATATAAAGACTGCTCACTTCCCAAGCTTGCAAAATCCACCCTGGATTGGACAGTCATGATCCACAAATATCTTGGCATTTTATTTGCATTGTGTTGTTGTATCCTAACAACTTTGGAGAGAATAATGAATAAAAACTTTGACCCAGTGGGCAAAAAGGGGAAAGGTGGTACACTAAACTGAATATGGTAAAAATCACTGGAGTTAACTGTAAGGTCCTGAGCTTAGTTTGGAATAAACTAGAACAAGATAGAGAAGACATGGCTTAAAGCAGCACATTTTTTAAAAGTTAGACATCTTAGAATGCATTTCTACAAGCACTGTGCCTATAATAAAAAGGTGATAATCTCATGCTTTTCTGCCTGGGTGGGGGGACCTCCCTCTTGGCATTTTTGTTGTCAAATGCTACACAATACAGGAAATGTGCTCAGAGGAGAGTGCTCAGAACTGAGAAGCATCAGGAAGATGGATTTATGGTGTGTGTATGTGTGTTTTAATAGAGACAGGGTCTTACTCTGTTGCTCAGGTTGGAGTCCAGTGGTGTGACCACAGTTCACTGTAAACTCTAATTCTTGAACTCAAGTGATCCTCCTGACTCAACCTCCTGAGTAGGCAGGACTACAGGAATGCGCCACCAATTTTTTTTGTAGGGACAAGGGCCTTACTATGTTGCCTAGACTGGTCTTGAACTCTTGGCTTCAAATGATGCTCCTGTTTCAGCCTCCAAAAGCATTGGGCTTACAGGCGTGAGCCACTGCACCTGGACAATTTTTTTTAAAACATTCTATTGGATAAATCTGTTCAATTATTAATTGGGCTGCCTCAATAGCAGTGAATGCCCCATCTCTGGAAGTGTCTGAATAAATTTGCATATAAAATTAC